GGCATGTTTTAATGAGTTTATTATATCTTATTGTGACTGAACAATTTACTGACCTTTATTGAATGACCTTTCTAATTTGCAAATATTACAATTTTTTGAAGTATATATATATATCGTAACAGATGCAAACGCTCACCATTTTTTAACACATAACATTGTCAAACTCAGTAAAACATGCCTTATTTTTTGACCTTTGTAAAATATTATAATTATGGACTTATAACTGTAGAGCCTGATGATGAAGTTATTGAAAACAATTGTTCACTCAAATATTCTTCGTTTTTAAATTTCAATTGTTGAGATTATTTCAAATATAATTTCACATATAATGACTAATCTATTTAATGTTCAATTTATTTGAAATGATCAAATCTACATTAATGTAAAAGTATGAATAGTATCATCTAAATATCTTTGTATAATAAAATGTTAAGTCAAATAAACTAGTTCAAAAATAATAGTGTCTTAAATCTTCTTTTATTCGTCACTTAATATAATTCGTTTGTCAATAAAACTTTAAGTGTCGTTAGTGATATGCAAAAAAAAAGTCGATTGTAATTCATAATTTTATTGTTGCTTAAATCTCCTCTCAAAACAATCACATGAATAAATAAACACACTTTATTTATAAAAGAAAAAAAATAACCTTTATTTTAGTTCGTGTTTCAATTACTTTACTCTGTCATGTGCTTTTACCAATACTTCTAAAAGGTTTAAACCGTTTTCTTCCTTTTAAATTATTATTTAAGTAATATATATATATATAAACAAGTCAGTGGATTATATAGATAAAGTAGATTTTCTAATTACTAGCTGACCATTCACAACTGTCAGTCATATGAAAGTATATATATTATAGGCTAATTAGGGAATTTTATTAAAATTTTATAATCTCTTATCATAAATACTTTAAAATCAATGAAAGAGTTATTAAACTTGAATGAAATAGTATCTAAAAGTACAAGAAACATAATACCACATGTTACCAGAATACTTAATTGTAAACAACTATTTATTTTGAATGACATTTTGATTTGTACAGTTATCATTTTATGATAGGGTATTAAAAACTTAATTCTAATGAATTCCATCTACCGTTCTTGTATTACCGATAGACTGTGTGTATATTCAGTTTTATTGTCAACAGAAGAACTTTTTTTGTGGATCTATAGTGTTTAGTTCCCTAATTTTTTTTTATTTATGGCTAAATACTAGAAAAACTTAAAAATCCATTCAATGTCCTTTTAATTATGCATTAAAAAAATCTTTACATATATTCGTTATTCAAAAGACAGATAATTTTCAGTAGAGATTTGTAGAAATGATTCGATAATTTTGTTGAGTAGACTTAAGAATGAATTATATTTATTTATGTTATAACCTGTGACTGCAGATTAGACAGCAGTAATTTATCGATCGGAACACGTAAGAACGGCCTAGAGTTCCGATTGGTCCCGCTTCCCTCTCTAGCCCAGCCAGTTGAGTTCAGAACGCAAGTCAGCCTCTGAGATATGAATCATTATATTTCAAGCACACTGAGTTTATATACCAATCAAACCGACCACAACGTACCAACAAAATATGAAACAACATTTGTACAAGAATTAGTCAAATGTGGCCGTGAATGAGGGAGGTAGTAATTAATAGAGAGGACATAATTCAAGAATGGTAGATCATAGGTCAAAATAAAGCTCATAATAAGAGGGACATGAATATGAACAGTTTAGTTACATAACAATTATACGATAAAAATATACTCGTAATATTAGTCCATAAATGGGTCCCAAAAATTACCATTCATTATTCTTATCGGGATACAACAATTTACTTAATGATTGACAATATGAAGTTTTCTCTGGGTGGATTTCTTTTATCTACTCAATAGTATTTTCTGTAAATTACCGTATCCCACGTTAATATCAGTAACTGATTTCTCAGCTAATCATTACATAATTTTGGTATGTTAATCAGTCAAAACTATCGCTTATCGAGTTTAGTACATAATATCAAGGAATTAATAAAATCCATACATTCAGTCATCAGTAATTGTATAAAATTAAAGATGAAACTATAGGTTGACAAATCGTTGTATTTAAAGAGGCTTTACATTCTTGTCGGAGTAATCCCATCATACTTTTAAAAACTTTGTAACTTATCTAATTCCTAATACTTTTGAATTACTAACACTTGTAGCGACTTGGTTACCATTTCGCATTAAGGTTCTACTAATGGTAAGAATAACTACATATCCGCTCATAGTGGGCGAATCGAATTAAGCTTAAGTAGTTTTGTTTTTATGTAGTCAGCAGTTATCATCTTCTGTAATGTTTGGTATATTTGAAATCATATACAATCACGTAAATGATGTTACTTCGTAAGTATTTATTCCTTTCACGATACTCATGGTATTCAACATTATGTATATACTGTTACTTTCGAATACACTTAATTAAACTTGCCTACTTCATGTTTGAGAAGTATGAATGATTTGATTTATATCAAATTTTACGTAATCTGATTATAGATATGAAAAATAATATTTGGAAAATCTAGTACATTCTCTGTTTTTGGGAGCTAGAAAAGTCTGTAAAAATTGTGAAGTCGATAAGGAATTGAATAAAATTCCATAATTACTTAAGGAAAATTGATTTCCCTCCAGATTCACTAATAGCAACCCATTCCTCTCTAGTTTTACAGCCTTGTCAGTTATTTTCGATATGTGTCCGTTTCCTTTTGATTTGAATCATGTTTGTTAGTTGGACAATCATCATCCATATTACTCTCCTGTATGTTATCTTTACTTTATCTTCTCGTTATAACTGCTCAGTTATAACGTAACTCATATTCGACACTTAGTCTCCAGTAGCCTTGTTAATAATCTACTAAATTTTCATTTTATTATATGCTACTGTGTGTAAAATAACTATGAACTCAGCAAAACTGTTTAAATAAATGGAACAACTGCAAATTCTCAGCCAAGGATGTTAATTCCTGAAAAATTGAGATAATAGACTACATTACCGTCCCTGATGGTTGACTCATTTGTAATTTTTTATTTTAATATCGTACTACTATTAAGTAGTTGAAGTATGTTCAATGAAATATTTGTTAGAATGATGTTTTGATATTCCTGTCTGAACATTTTAGTAATGTTGCGATCACTCAGTTTGATGGCTTAATCATACAGTTTTTACTGTCCCTCTATAAAACGCCATCAGTAAAAACTTAAAATTGAAGTGAAGACATGATCAGAAATCAGTAAACATGAAATATAAGCGCTTATCGATTTCAGTCTATGTATTATTGGATGTATCTATTCATACTAGCTAAAAGTAGATTTCGAAAGGATATAATTTTAGTCCTTATAAGCGGGCCAGTTCTGAGTTGTATCTGCAACCAATTTTTATCAGTTACAATACTTACGAGGACTTTATCAAGACACTGTTATCCAAAGTTTTTGTTAATGTCGTCCAAAGGTCCTAAGGTATAACCGTCATATTCTTTGAGACTGCAGACATGTACTGATGATGAATACCAACGTATACTTAATACTTAAATGAACTCTACAAACATTCAACTTAATATCAATAAAATGCAACATCCTAAAATAATTTATGGTGCATGATTGACAATTTATTGAAATTTAACTGGTTAAAAATTATTCTCTAGTCGATATTTGCGTCATAATTATATCTCTCAGAATTTCTCAAAATGCCTGATTCGTCGATTAGAAGGCACTAGAAAACCATCGCCAAAGGAACCACTCAGTTCCCACAAGGCTTTTATAAATAAATACTTCGTTGTTATTTTAAACTATGGACCAACGTTAATTTTATACCTAATTTTCTACTCTAGGCATTCTTCAATTTATAACTGTTCAAAGAAGCATTTTTCTTATGATTAGTTGATTTTTTAACATGTTAATATCCGCTCAACACTTATGGAAAGAGTAAGTACTGCTTTAACCACCCAAGTGACATTTTTATTAATGGCCTGAAGAAAAAGAGAATAGAAGTTGTTTATGTTCAATTAAGCCAAAATTATGAGAAGCTTTCAGTTTACCTAAGTGCACCCACTGGTTACGAGGCTAGAGGAAAATATGGACCTCTTAGAAAGTGAATTCTTACTGGAACAACAGCTTTAAATAACTCAACCACTAACAAGCTGAGAAATCTTACCAACTTTGTTCCGTCTTGTTCCTGAATCTTGATCTTCACTCTTCATTGACATTATTTCCAACAGTATAACAGAATTACACCGTTATCTTAACTGTGATACATTCAGTATTTGACGCCAATGTTATGGTTTACGTTGTGACAGGAAATGTTCGAAATCCGATACTGATACACGGTGTGCTACGCGCTAATCCTCCCCAACTGACTACTTGAGAGAGAACACAAGAGTGAGCAAGAAAATGTATTAGACTACCGTATAAATTGCGAAAATACTCATTCATAAACATACCACTCTATCCTTAGTAAATCGACTTATTTCTCAGCCAATGAAATGCACTTGTCCTTTAGGTCCTCTGATTTTTGTAGATTAACCTTCTCATTAGGCTGCATCATGGTAAGCCAGTAAAGCAGCTGACTATCTGCTCTATGCTTCAAATAATCGAATCTTCTCGAAGTAAAAAAATGCTTACGAAAGTATTGAAGGCCATTATAAATAAGATAACGCTTACTAGCACGCATGCATGTGACACCATCTCTTGAGGAGGACAGAACACTTGTTTCCAAAATTCTTAAGTGTTCCAGAAAATAGTTGCATTAAACTTATGAACGCGTCTATCTAATCGTACATAAATATCTAAATAGTGTATTATTATACAGAAACGCCAATCATCACTTCGTTTTCACCCACGCCTAGATTGCTAGAAATGTTTTAGTTCGAAAATTTTATTACTGAGTATTGACTATTCATTTTAATATAATAGTAAGGAAAGTAAGGTAATGAGGGTTAGTAATTCAAATTTTATACTACTGAACTTTTAATTTTAGCTAATATTTTGGTCTGAGCTGGAAACATTTGAAGCAGTAATCTTTTTATTGTCAAGGCTAGAGTTCCACAAGGTAGAAATCGACGAATGGTTATTGGAGCTATTTGTGTCGACCAGTTTCGTGGAGCTGAAGCAAATGTAGCATGTCGAAGCATGGATTATTCATTTGCTTCATCATATTCTTCAGTAAGTTAATTAATTTCATTGTAACCACTATTTCTAGGTCAGATTTATGATAAATTATGAGTAATGAATTTGCAAATACATAGTTTTTAGTATTTCGAACTCATGATATTCGGTAACTTTGAGACAAATGTCCGAGTTTCATTTACCAAGCTAAATTATCTTCACTTTTTACAAACTTTTGAAGCTGACACCAAACTTTTAGGTGACTAACATTAACTATGTTACTCATTAAGATATAGCTAAAAAGTCCATAATCTATAGCACTAGCGGCTTTGTTCATCGTAATGATAAACTAATTTAAAGTTTATCAATATTTGTGAAGGTGTTTATTTTCCTGTTATTAACAATTAAGAGAAACTTCAATCCATCTTTTTCGAAGTATAGGCTCCTTGAACTAACAGTAGGTATCCACAAGTTGTCATCAAAAATAAAATCCATTAGGTGTTGATATTTATACTGGGACATGAAAAAAATACTCACAACTTCAAACGCCCAGGGTTACTTACTACGCTACAGAATCGTAATACCCACCAACTGACTAAACTTCTATGATGTTTATTACTGATTGTTAATATTCAAAATAAGATCAATCGGATTTTTGTGAATATTCATTAAGACTCATTAAATAATCTCAGTATTCTTTATATCAACCACAGTATCAATCTCTAACTCATTCATGTAATAATGTTTATCAAATTATTATCTTTTCATAAGCTTTTTTACGATACAATTTCTACGGAAGCCAATAATGTACTTATAATTTAAATGTGCTGATTTTTAATATGTTAGTCAATAACTTACGGACTTTCGAAACTGTTATGTGCACGTACAGTTGTCTTTTCTTCTACGTATTATAATGTCCATCTTTGCAAGATGATAACACAATATTGACTGGAACAGAAGTTAAATAAAGTTCCTTTTACTTTATGTGAATTGTTTGTTCTCTCTTTCATTTTTTAAGCTTTCTACAGAAGACATTTTTCCAAGCTTTTCGTAAATTGTTTTTTTACACGTCATTTATTATCACTCTTCAGTAAAAATGAAATCAGTTAGTTAAAGTCTCTTGTAAAGCATTATAGATTTAGTATCCAATCCACTGATTATAAGTGACTAAATATATATTTAATATCATTTTATGTGACAAGGCAGTTGTAAAGGACTTAAATCACTGAAATAATAGTTCTTTGATTGAATGTTGACCTTTCAGTAAAATTTTAAAGTTTCATTGTACTCTTAATCCTTTGGTTCCAGAGGTTATGATTCAGAAATAAATTAACCGACGTCCTTCATTAGATATCTACAAAATACCAAGAGTATTGCAATCCTTTTATTACAACCTGTTAAAGACACTGTATTTCATGGTATACGGATCCAAAGAGTTTATTGAAAATTGAATCAGATCAGTAGTCTAATGTAACGACATTACTATATCTAATCGAGAACTCATTAACACCACTTATTGAATATATGCCCACTAACATTTATGTAAAACAACAGGTGCTTCATAATATACATATAACAGATATTTGACTGCACATAAACATTCTTTGTTTCTGATTCACAGATACTTTTCTTCCCAAATTCGCAATCAAACAACAAACAGGAATGAACTGATTAAATGCTTAATTTTAGTGTAAGACTACTCAGTAAAACCTAATTGATATAGTCTGAAATTTAATAAAGGCACTTTCATTATATTACCGGTTAATTTAGCATTCACCTAGTGATAGTATTTTAGATTTAAAAATCATATGCTATGTAACTAAATTGCATATAATTTGATAAGTGATGATTTTCCTACCTAAGTCATTGCAATCATAAAATGCTGTTATTTTAAGGTTCCACTGAAGAACGTGAAGACTTTTACCATACCTTATCCGGTTGTACGAATCGGGCATTGTTTTGGAAATGAATCAAAATTAGAAGATTGTGTTGCATTCACTGATCCAAACGGAGTACCATGTTCAAATAATAGTTTGGGAATAGTAGTAAACTGTTCAACAGGTAAACTGGTAATTTTAAATTTAGATAATTATTTTGTTACTCATACATATCATGTACAGTAGTTTGTATTGATGACTGCAGAGTCAAATGCAATGAAAACACATATGGAGAAATTCGAACACTTCACTTCTATCTGAAGTTTGTGCTGATGATGTCGTTCAGAAGAACGATGAAAGCTCCACGACCAAACCATCCAGCTCGGAGAACAAAACTCCACCAAAAACAGTTGACATTTTTATGCTCCCAAGTGTTTATGATAATTGTGTGAAGGATGTTTGACAGAGACAGCTAATGAGCCAACACCTTAAGTTATACGTTAATTAAGTGAATTCCCTAAATAGAAACTAATTCTATTTATGCAGAATATCAAATAGAACTTAAATTATACAAGTTTAGATATCTTTCTTAATACAAATTTTCCACATTCCATAAGATGTATAGAGTTTATGTAAAACTATCAAGCACAACGGCTAAGCAAGTCATACACTTCGTAATGGAATGAATTTTTGCGTAGTCATGAAGTGTTTTTAATATTTCGTGAATAATATTTCATTCACAAGCCCATTCTAAATCTAGAAGAAAAGCAATTTATACGTCTAATAAAGTTTATTTATAACCCCTCGATGAAATTGCCATGCAGTTGAACAAAATAGACTAAAATAATGACTTTTACAAGATTACCAGAATACTATTATTTCTTTCAGTCAGTAATGATAAACATTATCATTATTTTGGATCTCAGTTTATGTTCATATTTTTTTGTAAACCTACACACGATCTAAGTATCCCGAAATTGAGTGAGTCCTAAGAATCAACTAGAAGGTACAATACAAGCAATATATATTGATGTTCGGACAAGAATGATAATTATTGGTTATTTCCTTCGTCAAACTAGTAGGTAGTTTGACAGGTACTAGATAAGTTATCTATTCTCTTACCCTTATTATTGTGATTGTTATCGGTTTTTGGTGTGTAAATATACTTACGTTCTAGTCAGGCTAGTCACATGTTCTTGATCTGAGTTGTGTTGACATCCTGTAGAATAGACACTGGGAGGTATCTAGTGTAGATATTTGTCTACGGCCCATTTGTGTAGACGAGGAAAACCGAGAGTTATAACATATATGAATTAAAAACTAAACTCCTTGTTTTACTACATAACTGTGATTCTATATGGCACATGCCTTTTGTGTGTGTGCAAGCAGATGAGCATGAAAGAATCTTATTTAATGCGAATGCGTCATTTGAGTTGCATGTATTTATAGTATGATCGTGAACAAGTTGTTTGTGGTTGCTTCATGCTGCTGAGTAACATTTTCGACTATAACCATAAATCAATGTTTTTATTTGTAAATATAGTTTTAGCTGATTTGGAACCAGATGTTAAAGCATTGGAATCTTCAGCTTACAGTAGTATGATTCCTTTATTTCAAGCACAATGTGCTTTAGAAGAAAACTGCTTTCCTCCGAGTGTTTATAATTTGATTAACAGAAATCGACATTTAGCGTTGATGCATATGCGTCGTTTATTGCGTTTTTCTTCAATTATACACAATGTTGGAACTGATGTCTTTCGTCCACATGAACCGCCTGAACGATGGGTATGGCATGCATGCCATATGTAAGTTTGTCAAGTTAGTTGTTAAAAAATGCGTTTGTTCATGTTTATGTTCTATGAAGGATCGAAAGTAGTATTAAACTACCTATAAGTTTAGAGACTACAGATCAAAATGATGGATTGTGTTTAGCACTTAAATCCAGGACACACGTCTTGTGCTAATTGTGACTCATCGGCGGAATGTTTATGTACTACAGCTTCAATTAACATAGCGGAACGAGAGCCCAGTATTTGCATCCACAACTATAAAACCCAAAACTTTATATCAGTTGAATGAATTCATGACCAACTGAACCCAGTGACTCAGTGAGTAGGGGGTTGGACATTCGACGAAAAAGTTAGCGGTTTCTAGACCCAGGATGAACAACGACAATGGGATAAGGACATATCTATCTGATGAATCTCAAACAGGATGAGGTAGGCGTCCCGGATTTTACTCCCAGACACAATTCATCTTTACAAAAATTTAAAAATATCCTAAATATAATCAGTATGATTTATTAAATTATAATTATTTTAATATTGATATCAATCAACTCATTCATTGCTTGTCAATCAAAACTTTATTACTTCAACTGCAATTACTCACACTCGTTAAGCATCAACAAAGTTATGAATTGAATAAAAATAGAATAGTGACAGAGCTACTTTAAAAGAAATACAAATCTGCTAGCCAATAAGTATACAAATGTATTGTATAGTGAGTTACCAAATATCAATTTTATAGATGAATAATTAAAGTACGTTTGATTTTATCAGCATATGTTATTAATAAATATAAAAATGTGAAGAAAATAATATTCACTCATTCTGTTTTGCAATTACTTGTCAATTATGAAAACATAGAAAAATTGTGGGTTCTCTAGTTACCAATTATTAAAGGTAATTCCAGGAGTTCTGGTGAGAAGTCATGATTATTGGAGTTCATAAATGTCAAGTTTGAGGTATTAAAAGGTTTACGAATTAATTGAAGCAAGATGTGTAATAAACTGGATACTGGTTCAGTCCTTTAACGGTTAAACGCCAGCAACAAGTCCTTAACTTCTTGTATTTAATCTCTGGTTGGGTTGTGGATGTTCAGTGATAAGAAGTCCTATACTAGGATGAAACATCTATCTAATCCTCCTTGGTTTTTAGTGGTAACCTAACTGTGGACTGCAGGTGGCGACTACAACCTATAGATTGAACTACCCTTCACAAAATCCCTTCAACCAAAATAAAAATAAACTTACTTCAACAATATGTGACAGCATTCTTCATCTTCTTTATCTATATATAAAATCTTAGGTTCTGTGAATTAAAGTAAACTTGTTGTTCATAGTGTATTTACTTGTAGTGCTATGTTAAAACCACATAGCATATTCTAGCATCCAGATAAGCCAATCTATTCATTCTGCTTGAGTCACGTTTTGACCTTGTCAAATATTCACTTATCAACTTTGACTGTTTTTATATGAGCGTATGTGTGTACACTTTTTATCCTATTCATTACATGTCTGTAACCTATTTTATCTGGCTATGATTATTGATTAACGCTTGATTAAATGGAGTTGGCTCACACGCCTTCTCCACTGCGAGTCTTTTCGTTTCGCTTCGCTCTCTCTTCGCTTCATCCGCTGTGATTCTCTGATTGAATGTTCCGATCAACGTGTACAAAATATACGCATTCAAAAATCCATTCTCGTATTTGAATTATTTAATTCCGTTATTCACCAACGCGGATTAAGTCGATAATTTTATACGAGGATTGACGATATGTATATTTCAATAACAACCAATTATACGATATTACTGGAGTCAGATACCGGGCAACTAAACACTTTTTTGAGAGCTTAAGTTTAGTTTGTCTGATATCCAATGTGTGATTACAGTTTTTAACAATATTTTACATACCTCATTATGACATGGTATGTATATTTGCTTATTCTAAACTGATTTAACAGAGAAGTTTCTTTTCTCAAAAGTTATGATTTACAATTCAACGGATGAAAAAAGTATTACAATCATGGTTTGATTTGTGGAAAATTCCATCTATCAATGATATCAGGATTTATTTTTAAAAATGTCTGAAAAAAATGCATAAACATGATATTAAACGATATGATACAAAAGTACAATCTCATTCATTCCAGACTAATCCACTCCCTGATGGAAATATATTTATTTTGTTTATCCACGAATGATTTATTCTCGCTAAAAGTGATGAATGATAAGAATTCGAGTTAGTTAATCCCTAGAAATTGAATAAATCTGAGTTACTCATAATTTAAAAAGTAACTTTTAGTAAATACATTCTATGTTAATTTTTCAATTTCATTTTAGTAGAATAAGAATATGAACACTAATATATAGAAAAAAGTTCATTCAAGATACTTAGATCGGCCACCAAAAACTACTTGCCCCCAAATGCCCTGGTACGGCCAAGGTTGGGGAGAGTCAGCACTCTCTCTCTCTCTCAAGATGCTTTCACATGGCCACGCGTACACAGCCACTACCAGGGAAGTCTTGCACCTTGCCGGTGTTGTTTACGAAATTTAGAGGACGAAAAGCTGATGTCCGGCACTTTAACCGGGTTGGTGGACTCGAAGGGTTCACTTAGGGGGGTTGAAAAACCCTGATTCCAAACCAATGGTGCACATGGGCTCCAGTATCCTGAGAGAACAGTAGGCGTATGGACCCATTGTTGGCCACCGGCTACCATGGGACTGCATAGCCTGACGTTGCTCCCTACCTTTAGATCGAAGACTCTGCATGTGGTCCCCTAAGGAAACCACCCGCTTCAGTTTGATCACTTGGGTAGTATCTTAGCTCACGCACAAATCAAGTGACTAAAAACTAAATCAAATCATTTATAAAATCAAAGCACGAACATATTTTTTTATTGTTAACTCTATAATTTAATCGAAATTGTTCAAAGTTCCACGACAAATCGAATTGAACAATTAGAAATAAAACGGTTATGATTAATTCAAAATAAACATTGATCGGGAATTTTATTAATATTTACAGTTTGCTTTATTTTTTTATTTTTTGCTATTTACTTGAGACTATTCAACTTTATATTCTAAGATGTTTGGATTTTAGTAATTTCTATAAGAACTTTCATCTAAATTTAATCGAATAGTTCCATAGTATTTGCTTGAGATCATGAACTGATTGATGTTAGACCGCCGTTGGAGACCTGGAAGCACTGTACCGCTGTTTTGTCCTATTGTGGGACTCCTCAGCAGTGCGCATCCACGATCCCGCTGGCGGGATAAAACGAACCAGCTATCCAGTGCTTCCAGGTTCCAAACGGTAGTCTAACATCAATCGGTTCATGATTTCAATCAAAAACTTAATAATCTCTGCAACCCCTATACTGATAGTTTCATAGTATTCGGGCGCTGAGTTGATGTGAAACATTAAATAGAGGATGAATGTATTTGTAAAAATCTCAGCGAATCAATTTACCGGGTGAAACGTTGAATTTACTTCAACTTCATTTGTTGAGATTTTACAAATACATTCGTCCTCTAATTTTAGTAACTTTGTTCATATTACTTTTTTAAAACTCTCTAATGTAAAAGACAACTTTTCTAATATTAGTAAGACAACTTTATTTTTATTTTGCAACAAAATTATTTGTACATTATTCCATAAATCATATCACTTTACTGTATTAGCGAATAATTTTAATGATTATTACCACTAAAAAAGATCAATTTTAATCAGTTTATGTAGCCTAAATGCGTGAGTAAAACGTAAATTTTCCCAAACAGAAATATTTTATATCAGAGGGGTTTAGTGGATATTATAGTAATCTTAACGGTTGAGATCATGAGTCAATTGAAGATTGGTCACCATGGAAAACCTGGGAGCACTGGACGACCGTTTCGTCCTATTGTGGGACTGGAGTTCTAGTGGGAAGCAGTGATCAGTGGAGTTCAACCGGGTCTGTTGTAAGATAGTAACTCACTACAGACATTGTTGTATGTGTCGCTCAATCTCGTGAATTGGTTGAAGTTAGACATTGACATCGTTGGATGCTGACCGGTTCAGTGGTCTAGTGGTTAAGCGCTCTCGCGCGAGACAGATAGTCCCTGGGTTCGAATCTTGCGGGGGTGGGATAGTGGATGCGCACTGCTGAGGAGTTCCACAATAGGACAGGACGGCCGTTCAGTGCTTCCAGGTTTTCCATGGTAATCTAGCTTCAATTGACTAATGATCTCAACCATAGAAATATTTTAGTTCAATATTAATTTGTTATCAGTTTGAAGACGTAGAGATTGTTGAGTTTTATTGTGAAATCATGGACTGATCAATATTAGATTGTCATTGAAAATCTGGAAACACTGGATACTAACAACATTTTACCCATTTTCAACTAAGATAAACACATTAGTGATTAGACATCAATACGACTGAGTTTCACAATTATGCTAAACAGATCATAAACTATTGGTATGTCTATAAAAAAATATAACTAAACATTAAAGCAAACGATTTAATAAACTATTTAAACAATATAAGCAAAGATGGATGGTGGCTAGCAGTGGACTTAAGGCAATATCGAAGAAATCCTCACAGGATGAACATATGCCAATATCAGACTGATCAATTGCAGTCTTAAACATCAATAGGAATATTCAAACAAAGAATACAAAATGAAATTTATTCAGAAATATTTTTGATTAAATTAACAAAATTGACCTCTTTCTCATGTATTTTGATTATGTTTATGCATCTCTGCTTAATTACTCTTTAATTTATGTCTTCTTTTGTCTTTTAGGCATTATCATAGTATGAAAGTATTTTCTTATTATAAAGTTATCAATGCAAAGCAACAGATTATGGCTGTTGGTCATAAAGCTAGTTTTTGTCTAGAAGATAATGCTTGTAAAAATGGATATAAAAAACATTTTGTTTGTTCAACCACACTAGTAACACGTGGGGATCAAGGTGAGTAGAGAAATGAAATTTTACGAATTCTGTATAACAAATATTAGCGGCACATTTGCATAGTTTTGACCGGATGCTTTAAAAGTTTTAATCGTATCGATTTATCTACGGTCTTTTCAAGAATTTACTCTTTCTGTCCCATTTGATTTAAAGATGTTTTCAATCAACATAACACAAACCGATTCACTAGAATCGTAGGATTTTGATGTTCTAATTAACCAGTACATTGATGAAATTACACAAATCATTATGTTTATATACTGAGTTTGGAAATTCATAATACGGTTTTTAATTGACTGTAAACACTTTGAAATTACACTACAAGTGGGTTACCATCTCAACATACAGAAATATACGGCCAAGAAATTTTATATCCAACCACTACTAACCTACTGTACAAATTATGAAAAAAATGGTATTTGGAAAGTACCGTATAAAATTGTCAGTCTTGAGAAATAGAAAGGATATTTCCTAACATAATTATATTGCTTTGAGAAAGATTGAGGACTAAAAAGCAAAGGATAATCATTTTATTGTATATAATACTGTATAACAGTTACCTTATACAGGATTCCAGTATTACCATGGTTCTATTGAAAAACTGTTATCGATAAATAAGAAATAAATTTGATTAATAATCTACTTATCTTTATCTAATAACTAAGTTATTTTGTTTAGTGGTTTAACTAAACGACCTTTAGTTAATTAATACAACTTTTTTTTAAAAATAACCCACTTTGTTAGATACACTTTAAACTGTACTGAATATTTTTGTTTAATATGATAATTCACACTTAACTATAAACGAACAAGTAACTTCAAATAAGATAATGAACCACACTTAAATCAATTAATAAATATTATATTCTCATATTATATAGTTGAAAGAAAGAAAAAAACAACATTAGAATCAACAACGAAATCATCCTATAAACGATAGACTACAAAAGTTAAAAACAATCAAAATCTACCTTCAACATTTAACACTGAAATAATCTACTTAAAGAAAGACTAGATTTAATCATGTTGATCAAATTAACTTATTCGAATAAAACTATGGAATATTTTTTCGGCTTATAATTTGAATGTCAACAAATGAAACAATCGATTAGGTATTTTTTTATCACTAAAATGAATTTTTATTTTTTCCTTAAACATTTAATTATCTCCAGCGAAGGATTTTTTGTGGATATTATAGTAGTTTAATAGTTGAGATAATGAGTCAATTGAAGCTAGATCACCATGGTAAATCTGGTAGCACTGGATGGCCGTTTCGTCCTACTGTGTGACTCTTCAACAATTCATATCAACGATCTCGCCGTCCAGTGCTTCCATGAATAAATCTAACTGATATTCTATCAACTGCAAGTTAAAACTTCTTATTACATTATGTACATTTTAAGTGTGTGTCCTGGCTATAGCAATACAAGTTTAAAACGTGGAACTTTGTCAAATCATACATCAGTCTACAGTAAACTAAAGGATCAGAGTGGGTCGTTCATTGGTTACCTCACTCACTAATACTGAAAGAATAAAGAACAATTAGTGTAATCTGATCACTTAGAAGTAACTTTCAAAGTCGAGTTAGATTCACTTATATCTATGTTAGACGATCATATATGAATACATTAGCCGTTTTATTTTGCCCTGAGATTGAAAGTCATGCCCTTTCATATACATTGTATCTTTGGTAATTTCCGCCAATACAAATCAACTATGACTTACAAAATAAAATAAATTCACTTTACATTTAAGTCTAAATTTACAACAAGTAATAGAATTTCTAAAAATTGACTTACATATATTAAATTAGTAACTTAAGGAAACGAAGTACATCATTTTTGCCTAAGATTAGATTGACCAACAAATATACTGTTACTTTAATCATTTCAAGCTATCACGAGTCTTCATCTTACAATTATCGTTGTACATTAATGCCTCAACCTGTTTTCATAAGTTGTGACAATATAATGAATCTTATTGGTTGATTTGAAAACCAAAAACTTGACTTACTGAATTAGTACGCAGCTGCCTAGATCCACAAATATGAGCACATAAGACAATGATCTGACCATTTCAATTATACTGTTTGGACTAGAGGGTTTCTAACCTACCTTAGATTTCATTTAATCAGGTAATACTCTCGACATCTACACACGTCATATAGTTTTCTTTCAATTCAATTATTTATACCATTTTATTCTTCGTACCTTTGAAAATAGATACTAAATAACAAAAGGAATGCAACTTGTTAACTTATCACTTCTAACTGGTTATAATAAGGCCGAATCAATAGAACAGTCTCGAACTTCTGTTAGCTATTAGACTGTTCAAAATATTCGTTAATAAAATAATCCAGATTTTTTTTACTTTTGACTAACAAACAGGGTTTAGCACTGTTTCTATAGTAAAATCTATTATAAAACTTATTCAGATTGTGTTATTCTACCAGAATTCACCATACTCTGAATCCAACAGTAAAATGTAGTAAGCCTGATGAGCCCTGGCTGGTGTAGTTATTTTTCTCCAGCGTTTCTTGATATTAATCAACATCACCACTAACCTACAGAATCTCTTGCTCGAAAATAACTATGTGGGAAGTCAGTGGAAGTTATCCGACCTTGATGTGATAAGTTGTGCACTATCGTGAACTGACTGTAGCTAAAAGATATAAGAAATTGAATTTCATCTCACTGATTCAATGATATTGTGCTGAAGGTCATGGTTTGACCCATCCGGGATAGGTGTGAACAAACGAGGATTAACAAACTGAGAAATAACCATAAAAGACGAGCTGGTTTCGAATGGTTCTCTAACTGATGTTAATCTTTTTAACAAATGACATCAATTACACAAACACTGGAAAATACAAATTAATCACTTTATGCCATCGTTCTGGCATTGTATTGTAGCAACATGGGGTAACATACATTTGTCCCAAGCTGTGTTGATCCCAACCGACTGGATATTTCTTGAATGTGATCTCATGATATTGGTCTCTTAAATTAACATAACCACCCTTAAGCTATCTCGTCAATCACCACAATTGTAATATCAAATCCATTTTAATTGAATCCTTGACTACGCGACTTTTAATATTTATAATAACATAAATCCCTCACTCAATATTTTTATTGCTATACTATACAAGGTATTAGTCCTGGATGCCAAGATAATTATTTCCACGATTATGATTGTCAATGGTTAGATATTACCGATCTAATTCCAGGTGAATATACATTTCAATTGATTTTAAATCCAGACTTCTTAGTACCCGAAATTACTTACAAGAACAATGCCATAGAATGTCGTCTATCTATAGGACATACAAATCATCATTATGCCGCATTATCGAAGTGCTATTTGGTACATCCGTATGATTTGTGAAAATTCACAATTGCACACGGTCACATACATAAACATATCAGTTTACTTTGAAAAAAACATCATATAAATTAGATACATTTATTATCCTGTAATCACATTATAATATTGATTCACATGCATCATTGGTTATGCACCATGGACATTTATATTATCAGTAGAAAATTAATAAAATTATATCAAGTGCTATATTTCACTATTTTCAACTAAATATATTCGGGATAGATATAAAATTTATGTGCAACATGTCTTCCATTGATATAACTTGACTTTAAAAACTAACTGAATTTCAAAACGTCATCAACTTAAACTACTACTTAACAGACAAAGTTCAAACAAATTCTTATGTAAAAACATAAACCATATACAATTTACGGCTACTTTAGAGTGAAAATCCTCGCCATTATCGGTCTATAAGTATAACCATTTTTATGATATACTAAATCATTATTATATTATATATTATTCTGCTTGAATAGATGACTCGGTTATTACCTTCCTTCTTCTGCATTGTCTCATATGAAGAAAAACCTCATTGTTACAAAACGTGAATCCTACATAAGTAAACAATTTTCTCACCTGAGAAGTTAACTTAAACCAACGCATATGCTTTCAAGCACTATTCAAATGGAGACTTCAAGACATCCCTAGAAACTGTTTTTATTTTATATGCAAATTATATATTCTAGTCATCTTATTTGCTATACTCCACCTGTAGCTCTTCTAGGATTATTGCCGGTCTCAAGCCCGGATAAAAAAGGAGGGTTGGGTGTGGAGTCGGCAACCCCATCGCGTAAAAAACAAACTTGCGAAAAAAACACTAACCAGAATAAACAATTTAAACTCGGCCTTGGGAGTTGAAGGATGAATTATGACGCCTCGTGATGAATACCGAGATTGCTCGGAAGTCACGAGGTCTATCCCCCTTCTAACAACCAGAGCAATAATTTTTATAGGTACATGGACTGTCTGGACAATGTGAGAGACCAGGAGGACTAATCAAGTAGATAAAGAAATGAGATACAACTTCGCGGTTGTCGGAATCAGCGAAACCCATTGGACCCAAGCTGGACAGAAAAGATTAGATTCAGGAGGGATGCTGCTGTAATACGATCACAAAGCGGAAGATGCTCCACACACTCAGGGAGTTGATCTGATGCTGTCCTAAGATGCACGAAGTACTATAATAGGATAGGAATCTCATGGATCCAGGATCATCAAAGTATCATTCGGAATAAAGAAAGAGGGAATTACAATGAACGTTATGCACCAATGATAGCAATGATGACGATAAAGATGTGTTCTACGAGAGGCTACAAACGGTCATAGTGAAGTGCCCATGAAAGGACCTGATAATCCTGATGGAAAATGTAAACGGTAAAATCGGAATGGACGACAACGGTTATGAAGATATATAGAATTAAGTCTGTTTTGTTATTAGTACTATTATAACAATAGAAGAACAAGTGCAGACAGACTGGAAAGAAGGATATCTCATCAACATTCCAAAAAAAGATCTGAGCAAATGTGATAACTATAGGGGCATCACATTACTATCGGTACCAGTAAACGTTTTCAACAGTGTTGTTGGACCGGATGAAGGACTCAATATACGCCCAACTTCGAGATCAACAGGCTGAATTCCGTAAGAATCGGTCGTGCGCATATCCAATTGCGACTCTACGGATCATCAATATTGAATCCTGGTATTACACAGAATATGTCAATGTCCTGAAATACAGTTAAAAACTGCAATTAAAATAGTCAAAGTGTCTGTGAGCACACTAATTATACAATACAATTGAGGACAGGTAAGTTAAAACATATAGTAATTAAAGTTTGGCAATGTTATGCTACTAGTATCGGATATAATAAGTAACCAATTAAAACGTAAGGTTATTATAGGCAGTTATGAAAAGCAACGTATGGATCACAATTCATAAATGATTGAAAGGCATTGATGAATACAGAGTATATAATATTGATATTTTATTTAAATACCAAGTAAAATAAACACTCGAAAACAATATTTAGACTTAAAATAACACGATAGTTAATAAATACTGCGGAGAAATATAGATCTAGATAAAACGTGAGAAAAATTGATAAAGATAGACATTTTAGGCAAGATCATTTTATGATTATTATTTACACTGAATAGAAGTTATAGAAGAGTTAGTTTTGACTTAATTTTCCTCAACATCGGATTGTACCGATTTCGCTGTGATATTTACACTTGATGACGAACTGAACGGTAAAGACTGTGAGGCGGCAGCCAGCTGAACTCTACTTAAGGGCAATAAAGGCAGATGATCAGTACCCGTACCCATTAGACCACCATACTTATTGTAAAAAGACCTATAAAAAAAGATTCAACTAAAGAATCAATAAATAATTATCTTATACACAATAGATATACTTTGTGTAAAAATTAAAAAATATAGACTTTGAAATAAATAATTATATTGCAAGATTATGGCGGCTTACATGGTCAAATTTATTTATTTCCTGACTTTCTACAGCAACGTTTTTCAATGTTAAACCAATTAGAAATGATTTTCCGAAAAATTTAACAAATCATTATACGCATATTTTTTCACAATGTATATTTTGAAATGATTTAGTTCTTCATCCCTGTTCCCATATAACACCATTTTTTAAAAATGGATAAATCAATGTTCCCATAAACACGTTTAGAACTGATTCACTGAGTTTTTCTAGGTTGATAGTTCAAAATCTAACATATCATGATCTCAAAATAATAGATGTATAATCATATTTTTAAGAAAAATGGAGTATGATCCCGTGATAGCATGAGAGCATTAAAACGTTATTCTCATACGCTAAATTTAAGATGTATCCTCTGTGGTTTTCTTTTATATTTGTGCCAGTAGAATAATCTAACCTTAGTAACTATTTAGAATAGCTTACTTACCCCTGTAATAATGGTTGCTTTTCCGTTGAAACTCTTGAAGAAGACGGAGTAGATGGACGACAATAATCAACGGGCACAGGGTAGTTCACGGAACCTTCCGAATCTATTTTATTGTATACCTTGGGAGATGAAAGCAAATTATACAAACTGGATGCAGAATTTGCATTGGATGATAAACTTGGGACAGGAAACATTCGAGGTACATAACATGAAGCTTGGGAACTTGGTCTAATCTCTCCCAATAATGAAAGGCTATTGCTAGGGGTGTGTGCATTAGTATTTGTGTATGGATGTTTTGAGTTTGATGTATGGTAATTTTGAGCTTCAGATAATTCACGTGCATCTTGTAAACGAATCAAACACAACGCTAGTGAGCCAAAGCATATACTGCTAACAAACCATATTACGACAACAATAACATCTGAAGACAAAATTTATGAATTTTTAACAAACAATTAGGAAATAATCGTTATTAAACTAATCATCATTAATACCAGTATAATCCTTAGTACTACTATTATTGAGGCTAAATAATGATTGTATAAATAGGTTATTTGTAAACTAGTTTTAAAATTCATTCACACTACAAAAGACTTTTCAGTCCACGACATAAACTTGACCTTTGTAGAGTTTATATCGCCAACGATCTATGTAGTGAGTCTTATGTTAATATTTTTACAGTATACTTATAATAAGGAACATTCCCGGTTACGTGGAACTGAGGTACAAAAGTTTCAGTTATGAGGCTGAAAAATGGATTCAGATAAAGAAAAACTCTATTCCGCAAATTTAACTAACCTTTTAAAATTACGGACGGAAACTTATGCAAAAGATACAATGGAAACGGTTATAAACCAATAGAATCATGCAACTTCAGTTAACAATTCACATCATTTTGAAAATTCGTCAGTGTAAAGACTACTCTTCAAAGAACCAAACTAATCTTAAACAAACTTGATCTGATTAAAGTAGAAAATGTGCAGAAATGAACATGGAAGTATGGAAATAAATATTTAAAAATTACCATATTGACCATAGAATTGGATGCGTAGAGTACGTAGTCTTATATCAAAACAGGTTAACATCAAGAAATATTCAATTACAATGTGAGGTAATAAACAGCTTGGTATGAGAAAGAAGCTTGCACAGCATAATGTAACGTAAAAACCAAGAAGAGCAGTTGAAATACCGAATGCCTGAAAATTAAGAAAAATTCAGTATACACATTTGGATTGATCTTAAAAATACCGTTGAGATAACAGGCAATGACGTATATTCTTAAAATCAAAACCTACATATTCCGTTTTGAAAGAACATATTTGAATCACTAAAACAAAAAGCACAACTGAAACAAATATTTGAAGGAACAGTGTATTTACTACGTATAAATGTTTATACAATTATCCAGAGAATCATGTTTATTATTGCTCAGTAGAATGATACTACCTAAAACGAATCATGTGGTGAGAGTTCAAAATAATGACCATCTGTAAGTCAAAAACCAAGTTTCAAGAGTACCAAGACAAACAATCACCTTCCTGAAAAAGCGACCTTTTAAGCGCCTACGTAAATTTGAAGTAAAACATTAACCTAAATTGCAAATTTGATATCGTACACTATACCTTCGACTAAAATACCAACCTGTAGACAATAAAACTGAGTGAGTCCGTTTTCGGAGATCCTATTTGTGAATAAGATAAATGATTCTATACAAAAATCTTGCATACGTAAAAACTAATACACTTACTATCTATTATAATATACGGATATTATAAAAAGATGTTTGAAATGTTTCATAAAACTCACAAAAAAGAAGTTTTAACGCAATAAATACAAAAGTGTTATAATCAAGTGATACATCGATTAAGTTAAAACTGTTTATAATTTCAGCTTACAATTATTAAAATTCGAAATGTAGCAACTAGAGAGTGTAGTTGTGTACTTTATCTGTGAAAAAAATAACCAACGTAAATTATAGTCTAATGACAACGAAGTGAATTAATAAGAATTTAGTATTTTCAAGTTATTCTCATTCTAGTGGACTTCTTTAGAAAATTAAATTCAACTCATTTACAAGGTACTTGCTTGGGTGTGAGGGCTAATGATACTACTCGGTTCCCGAAACCGAAGTAGGTGGGATGGGGCTTGAACCTAGAAAGTCGAATGGCCTAATTACTAATTCACCGCTCAATGCGCAATGTGTACGTCAGTTATGTAAAAGGCAGCCGAGGAAACTGATCTTCGTTAAAATTGTTTTTTAAGACTAGCCTTTATAGCACTAACCAATAAAGTGAATATTATCGAAAAAAAAACTGAGGAAGATCTCTATGAAAAGGTGTGAATAAAGATCTACTTCGTCGTTTTTCTTTTTCTTAAGGATTTTTACGCAACACGATATTTGAGCAACTGAAATGTTAAAATTTAAGAAAAAACATTATTACACTAATATATGTAATAAGAAATCCTAACACCTGTTAATACTGTTCGTTTCACACTCAAAAAAAGAACATTTTATGATTACCTTTGAGTAACATTTTATAAACTAAATTTCTGTACTTTTGTCCAACTCTCTTCACTTTACCTTTCATTTCCACTGCCATCGAAGCTGATATCTTGTGATCCTACCGCTTATGCTTGGAGTATTATTTTAATGTTCCATTTTCACGCACATTGTAAGTACATTTAGGCACAACTGGAGGACTATGTCGTCCTCACTGTGGACCAATTAAATTCTCTAGTTAATGATATGTCTTTTGTCTTTACTATTAACTGAGGTTATATGCAGAAGACAGAGGTATCACGATCTCAATATCAGCGATTAATTACTAGAGATGCATTATTTATCTATCATTCTTAACCTATACATTATTATTTATTACACAACTCTATCAAGTTTTCTAAAGAATTTATAATTGAACTAGGAAAAAACTTACAAAATTTTTGAATATACTCAGCAAGCCAAGCAATAATCCTGACATTATTATACAGAACGCAAAAAAAGAAACCGAAGATTTGTCCAATTTTAGAGAACGATCTGAAGAAAAAGAGTAATTGCATATATATATGAGTATTGCAGTTGAAATATCGATAATTACAACTCACTTAAGTACATAAAATATGAATCAAATCAAATGGAGTCACCGCGAGACTGTATTGACAGGTGATTAACAGTTTCAAGTAGACTTTGTGCACACGCAATAGGGGAAACAATCAGTGCTATGTTGATGAATCTCCATAATAATAGTGTCAACGCTGTAATCCTGTCTCCAGGAAAACTACAATTTCCTTATTTTTTTACGCGGTATTACGTGTTTCGTAAACCTATTTTATCCCCCTTCTAACCCCTGTACAAACAAATAATTGGTAGTTGATATATTGTAGACTATAACATCACTTTAATGTGAATGCTATCTTCAGACCACTTTGCTGCTTATGGATATCCTGCAGAGACCTGAGTGCATCAAATACATGTTCATTATTGCGATTGACAATCTCATTATTGGTTAAAGATAAGGGTGCGAAATGTTATACGGCGTTGTCTTCATCCACTATCGATCTTTTAGAAATGTTTTATCGGCGAGATTATAATTTATGGACGAACCAATCAGATTTACGATAACAGGTCTTAGATTTTGGCGCGAAGTTCATTCACCCATTTGCCTAAATAGAGACTTAGTATTATAGCTTATGTCAGTTCGTGATGAAAACCCTAAATCGAATTCTTAACCCTAACCATCAACTGTAAATCATAATCCTTATTCTTTAAACTGCTTCATAACCCTCATTTAGCCCTAGTAAGTGGGTAGACACCCTCAAGGTCATTTTAGCGTCGCTCATAGGTCGTCCATAAATTATAGTATTGCCGTTTCATCTTTTAACAAGCCACAAATCCCGCTCACACTGTTGGGACGATACTGCGATGGTTCGAAGTATTCGAATTATAGTACGAACTAGGAATAACAGAAATAATTCAATTTAGCCAAGAAGTACTAGATGAACACGAACGAACGTATTGTATTTGGAACAGGAAATCAAGCAGTTATCAAGTGAAAAAGAATCATCAGTTCATACAAACACCACAGATATGACTTACTATTTCTTCCTAGGATAACGGTACAATAGTTGTTATTCTCTGTATCTTATATAGGTATTATATTTCCTCAACCGCATGGTGAGTAATTTATGTGTGTTTGCCGACACACGACTTTCTCTTAATTCCCAACGTAACATAAATAGTCCCAGCTTATCTTAAAAAATTTTTATCTTTAATCTTGTAAGTCTTTCGTATTTATGTAAACCCTACCACTTTTATTGGAAACATCACTAACTAAAGATACTCAGCCAATTGTCTACACTAGATCGCATTTGGTCGCGCGGTACAGAGCAACTCTTACGATAATTAATCGGGTTAGGTGAGATACACAACAATACATCGATCTTTTTTCAATACTACGTTCTGATCCTTTCGAGTTTAGTTGATTTTAGAGTCGTAGTATAAGAAACTTTGGACTGATCCAGTTACGATATCTATTATACATTACGCAATATTAGATGATGTACAACTCTTCCACTTCAAAAGTAGTCACAGTAGTGACTGTAATACTCAGACCTTCAACACTTGACCAGAAACTATGTATTGTGGTTCAGTGAATTGTGGCACTTTGGAAATGCTATTAATGTAGAGGACGTTTGTTACGAAAACTGTGGTTCATAATGCCGTATCACTCTAAAATACGTTCATGAGGCAATCTTGTATTTCTGAACATTTCAACAGTTTTCTTTCTAGATTATGCAGCTCATATTGCATCCAAACTTAGAATATTTGAATCATTAGAGAACACGGTCAATCATTTATTAAGAAAAGATGTTCCAAACAAACAGAAAATGTTTATCCACACATATCGGGACGACTCAAACAGATCAGGGAGAAACAATCCAGTAGTAGTCAAACTGCGGTCGGAGAAACATTATATCATACAAAAAAAAACAAAGTAAATACCGATTTAGTACGTATTGATGGATAAAAAAAGAAACAGAAGTAAGCAAGATACATGAGAATGAAAAGAGTAACTTTATACCATCGGCGAATAAAGAATTTACGAAAAATATAATGCACACAAGAGGGATTTTCACTCATAGATAAAGGACGTTGAAAATTATTAAAATAAACAGGCATCAAACTAGCACAACAGATAACAAAAGTACAGACATTAGATTATACTGGAAGTTTAGTGCTAAATCAACTAGAAGTAATCAACTGAGCGTGCAACCTGAATAGGCAGCCACGAATATGGGCTACTAATTAGCTTAGCGGATAAGAAGTTGGCGATCAAAGCGGACAATAAGATCTAGCCCCAGTGTAAATACAAATAGGAAGTAGGTAAATAGAGCCGACGCGATTCAAATAGGATGAACCAGGTGTCTTGGGTCTTCTTGGTCACCACAATCCAAATGTCTTTAAAAAGTAGTAGTCTTTTCAACGTACGCGCCCTGTGTCAAGTCGGCCAGCAGGTCTCCTTGGATAAAGCCCTAAAATCTAGTACCATTGGTGTATGGTGTGTCTTCGAAACACGCATACAGGACCCTAGTGTGGTCATACACTAGACCTCACCTTGCCAAAACGGAGAGCCGACGAGATACACCCTCCGTTTATCTGGCGACCGATGGCTAGTTCGCGTAGACGATGGCAGAACAAACACTGTTAGGATGGATCCCTATTAACAGTCGTCTATGTGCTGTTCGACTAAACGGCTCCGTTAGAACTCGAAAGGATAGTGACACACGTCGTTGCCCTTTCGTCGTTTCTGCCTACGCTCCCACTGACTGCAGCCCGGATGATGTTAAAGATGACTTTTACAGAAAGCTTCTTCAGAAAGCTAAACGCTCAAACATAGTACTAATAGCAGGTGATTTTAATGCCCAGGTTGGTAGATAAAACCAAGCAGAAAGATATTTAGGTGGGTATTTTACTATTCCGGCTCAGCGAACAGATAATGGTGATCGTCTGCTGCAACTGTGCTCAGACAATCGTTTATTTTTAGCAAACACTAATTTCAAGCCTAAGGAGAGACATCATCTAAAATGGCGACTCCCGGAACCAAACCAGCGATGGACTCAAATAGACCATATTGGCATCAGTCATCGTTGGAGAGGGTCGATAGAAGATTGTCTCTCATTCCGGAAAACCACTTTAGACTCTGGTCCTCGTCTTATACGAGCACGCATTAGCTTGCGCCTCACTGGACGTAGAAAAACCACACTAAGAAGACCCATTAAAATTGAATTGAGTGACAACAAAGCAGAAAGTAGATTCCAGGAACAACTGAGGTCACACTTAGGTAGTTCTGAAAACGAGGCTGACCCAGATATTGCTTGGAAAGATATACAAACAGCTGTAAAAACAGCAGTGGTGTCCGACAAGGTTGTTCAATATCTCCATTTTGTTTAATTCCATCATAAGCCTACTGCTGGAAATAACGTTCTCATCGGCTGAATTTTCGGGCATTGATCTTCTGCTAGGAGGTCCACTTATCGACTTAGAATACGCAGATGATATAGTCCTGTTTGGTGAAGACGCTGATAAAATGCAGTCTTTTGGTAGCACCGAGCAACAATGCCAGGATGTTTGGGATGCGTTTCTCTCCTTCTAAATGCAAATTGTTGCTACAGGACTAGTCTGCGTCAACACCTGAACTAAGGATAGGGAGTGAAGTAGTTGAACACGTCGACAACTTCACTTATCATGGAATTCTGATCAGCCCTAATGGGTTGGTGTCTGACGAAATCTCATCACGGATTCGAAAAGCTCAGTTGGCGTTTGACAACTTATGTCACCTATGGCGAAGGTGAGATATCCGGCTATCAATTAAGGGACGAGTTTACTGCGCAGCAGTTCGTTTTACTCTTTTTTACGGCTGCGAAACGTGGCCATTAAGAGTAGAAGATACTTGTAAGCTACTAGTGTTTGATCACTGATGTCTTAGAAATATTGCTCGCATCTGCTGGGATCACTGGGTAATTAATAGTGAGGTTAGACGCAGGGCATTAGGGAATGATGATAAATCAGTTGATGAGGTTGTGAATCTTTATCGACTGAGATGGTTGGGACACGTGTTACGTATGCCTGAACACCGATTACCACGACGCACAATGCCGACTAGTGTTGGGGATGGTTGGAAGAAAGTTAGGGGCGGACAAACCAAAACATAGCGTCAGTCCTTGAACTCACTAACTTCTAGTCTGAGTCATGTTGATAGATACAGACTACTTGGGTCCGCGCGGCTATTATAATGGTTGAAGACGCTGGGTGAAATAAATCAGAATCGATCACAATAGTGTAGGTATATACACAATCTGTCTTCCCTTAAACTGTGAGGTTAACCTAATTTATACCTTTCCTTCTAAGAACTAATTCTTTCTTCTATACCATAGCTTTATATGCAATACTTCTTTTACATATTACTATCATTCAAGTAACTACTTCCATGAATTCGGTGTTCATCCTGTTGTGCTAATGAGGTGTGGCAACTTGGACCGATGTATATACGTGCCTGATCCTACTTTGTAGCTGACTGACTGACTGACTGACTGACTGAAACAGAAGTATCAAAGTAAAACAATGAAATAAGATGAATTTGATACCACTGTAGTATTTTAAGCTCAGTTCTCAATTTATTTAATTATTTATTTATTAAAACACAAACATTGGTACAAGGGGGCATCTAATACATGCACTCCTTACTTCGTCATTCGATTTTTGTGACGGCTGTGATACTGCCCGAACGTCCAAACCAAAGCAGGTGGTTTTCTTAGGGCACTACACCCAGAGCCTTCGACCTACAAGTTTAATACACAAGACAGTGAAGTAAAGCTAGGAGATGCACTTCCATGGTAGCCGGTGACCAAAAATAGGTTCATACGCCTTTTGTTCCTTTAGGATACTGGAGCCCATGTGCACCATTGGTTTGGGATCAGGGTTTTCCAACTCCTCTAGGTGAACTCTCTGAGTCCACCAACCCAGTTAAAGCGCCGGACATCGTCCTCTCACTTTCTTAAACAACACCTCTCCGCGAGAAGACAGTGAGTAGGACTTCCCTGGTAGTGATTGTATATGCGTGGCCATTTAAGAGCATTTCGGGAGAGAGTGCTGACTCTCCCCGCTCTCTGACGTACCAGGGCGTTTGGGGGCAATCCCGGATAACTAAAGCAACCTAGTAACTCATTACATATTTATGTACATAGACATGAGTCATAAATTTTTATCCATGGAATAGTTTAACTACGCGGATGCCCAACATGAACTAATCAACCTTACTTAAGTGTTAACGATGTATTACCCAAACAAACAAATACCTTGAAATTCCTTTTTTTACTCCGAAAATTTCAGTAATTAAATTAATATCATACACATATACATACATGGTAAAATAGACAATAGATGAAGTTCTGTCGATTTTAAATACTTATCCTATAGAAAAATAAGTGACAGAATAAATTTACTAGTAAAATTTTCAAAACGTACCAAGAGAGATGGAGAGATAACCGATTAGAATAAATACAGTCGGCAAAACGGGAAGTAAACGAGCAAGGCGACGAGGTCTTAGGGTGAAGGGTTTAAGTGGACGTGCCAAGGTTTTTGAAGATTTTTGTGAACTTCTGGACCTTCGACACAGCTGAATGCCACAAATTCGAACACAAGTGTAGTCTTCATTATCATCACTAGCACCCTGTTCATTTGAAACATATGCACCAGAATGAGCTGGGGAAGGTTGATGCACTAGATCGTTACACAGCTGTAATGCTGAAATACTGGACTCCTCCTCACTAACTGGAGCCAAAACATTAACAGTATTAATTGGTGTATGTTCAGTCTGTGACGACGATCCGAAAGGGGCATCAACATTTTGATAGCTGTTATCTAACACATCTGAATTCCACGGTTCGTTAACAAGAACAGTTGTAGAATTTTCTACCTTCACCAGTGGACCTTGTCCAAACATACGTTGGTAGTACAAAGTAGGACGAACGTAACGCCACCACAGTATTACAAACACAAACAATGCGAAGAAAGCTGGCAAAAAAGCACTCGCTATTAAAATAAGGTAAGCTATAAATAGAATGATCAAAAAGGAAAAATATTTTAATAGCATGGGATAATTCGTGAAAATTGCAGAATTTTTATGGGTTGCCATTGAAAACCTGGAAGTACTAGACAGTCGTTTCCTGCTAGTGTAAGACTTCTCAGCGGGGCGCATCCGGTAACTAAACCAAGGACCTTCGGTTCCTTGTACGAACGCTTAACTTCTAAACCACTGAGCTGGCATCTGACAGTGTTGATGTTTAACTTCAATCAACTCAGGATATTACACAAACACTATCCAATGCTCGCAATGAATAGCTATTTCATACCCGACACGGTTCGTGATTTAAACTATGAAAATATATTTTAATCCGAAATTAATTGACTCGAAAATAATGCACAATAAAAACCAATAATGTGTAAACTGTGATACAATGCTTGAAAATTTAGCCCAGCAGTTAAGTTTTAATCGATTGAACAATGAGTGTCCTACAAGCTAATTCCCTTAAAGACATTTTACCATGTTTATATTGTGTTTATATTTTGCATAGAAACACTTCAACTGGTTACAGAATAAAACCTACTATTTTGGCTCAGTGGACTTGTCTTTGATTTCAAATTATTTGAGGCCCAAAGTCAATAAAATAGTTTAGTGAGCAACCATAACCATATCATGATATTGTGTCCATTTATTGACCAACATTATATTCATTGATTTTAACAATCAAAAAATTCGCTCATTAAATAATCAACCTCCATACTAAAATGGGACTGTGATCAACATATTCAACTCAACTGTTGGTTTTCGTAAATACGTTTTTGTAGACAATTAATCCATTATTGACATTTATGATTTTTATCACTTTAGCACTACTTATTATGGATATAAGGAATAAGTTACTGATAGACTATAAATAGCTAACCGACTGACCAAGAAATAGAACCACCTTAAGGGAATATTAAAGACTGGTTCAGTAAGTAATTAAATGTAGATTGACTGAGGCTTGTAACAGTGGTGAGAGTTAGTTGGGTATAACTGAAAAACTATAGCAACAACAAAGACACGTTCACTTGTTATTTTCTTTAACTATTAGACTTTTTTTCTTATATCCCAAAATTTTCTTATTTATCTTTCTGAACTATTTTTGATTATCTATCATCTTTTTGAAACGTGGTGACTAAAAACGAGACAATTGTGTTGAACATCACCTACTTCACGCGGTCAATAAGAAAAAAGTTCATAGACAATAATGAATGAAACGAAGTTATAGGCCAGTTGTTTAAAAAGACTTTCTGATAGTGCGTATTAGGCTGCTATGATCGTACTATGAGTTAGCAGTAGGTTGAAAGTTTGAATCCTACTCTAGCTACTTTGTTTGGACAGCCAGGTAGCACTAATAATCTGTTCACATAATGTCGATTAAGGCTGAATACACAAGCCAGAATATGATAAACGGGTTGCATCAAATTAGTGACATAGCAAAATTAATATTTATACAGAAAAAACTGCTAGTCCTTAGTAAGTCAAATGCAAAGTTATTGAGGCGTACAATATACATTAGAGCGACAAGTACCAAGCTTTACTGTTTATGAGTTCATTATTAACGCCTACAAGACTTGATGCCTTATATCCATAGGTATGTGATGGATTTTTGGAGGCACTTTAGTTTCGTATCAGTGCTTAAAAACAGGTGCAAAATAATGAGTACTGCTTATACTTCTCCAAATATATTTGGGAAAATCGGTAGAAACTATAAAGTTACTGCTCATCCAACCTACATTCAATAGTTGGGACATATTTTACATGCCAACAGCTTGATATTAGAACTGGTGAAATAAGATTATTTGTATCTAATGAGTCAGTTAGTCATCATTAACGTACAGCCGTTGGTTCAAGAGATGATAGTCTTATATCGAGCCAAGAATAACCCGCTGTCCAAGCATAATTGTAGCAGATGGTCAACGTCATTTGTCCATTAGTTCGGGACACTATAAGACCAACTTAAGTTTTTTTTCATTTTGACTTATCCTACCACCTTGAACGCTATGCCCACTTGGTACAACTAACCCATTTGAGGCCCTGACTTTTTGAAGATCATTAAGTTTCGTGCAAAGTTTATATTTTACTCCACCAGAGCTGCAGCCAGTAGGAGATAGGTAGAAACGAGGAAAAGGCAACGGTGTGTCTCTATCTTTCAGAGTTCTTGCTGTGACTTTGAGACGGACAACACATAAAAAGCTGTTAACAGGAATCCAGTTGTGTATGTTCTTCCGTGTATAGTAATATACTTACAACAGCAAGACCACGAGGATCTGCTGTCATGCCCACAGATACACAAGGTGTAAATCATGTTAGTTATCCATACTGGTTAAGTGATTTCAAGTGGATGACTACGTTAGAACCCCTTATACGTGGTCAGAAGATACGGTATACATCAGTGGCGCGATATTATGGTGTCTTAGTCAAACCTCTTTGCAATCTGATATGTGTTTGGACATTCAAGAATTCAATATGTGTGGTTTCATATCTGAAATTGTATTTTGTGAACTCGAGTAGTTAGCACTATTGGTACATATAAAAGTTGAAGACAGAAAATGAAGGTTTACAGTAGAAACAGAGGAATTTTTGGGTAGTGAGGATGGGGTTTGATTATGAATGACGTGAGCTACAAATCTTCTCCACCATGACGTGAGGTTGCTACTTCCCGGTTACCAACGATGAGGAAGGATAGTTCTTGGTATCTGTAAAAGAGGCTGAGTTATCAGCAGTCTTAGCGGCTTGCAAGCGTGCGGAAATACCTAAGGAGCAACTACTTGAGGCTGGTATCCAGGCGCACAATTTTCTAATACCTCTCAAGCTAACGAGCTTTGGAGTACAAGCACTGACTATACTAGTTCTACAATTATCAGGTCTGTTTTTCTGAGATCTTACATCAAGACATGTTACTAATAAAAATAACCCAGTAGACTAAGTCTGCCATGATATCCTATCAATTGAGGGGAAGGTAATCAGACGAGGTATAGAAACTAATGAATCGATAGTTATGGCAAACTGCAATTATTCAAACTAAATCAAATTACTGATAATAGATCCTTACTTTCATTAGGTTCGTCTGAAAATCTGTAGAAAAATATCAGCCCAATGACAGACCCCATAATCATCGCACTGACTGCACAGCCTAAAATGAACAATTAAAGACTGAAAAACAGATTAAATGGTAGAAATGTGGCTTTGATCAGCACTGAAAGTGTATTATTCATAAATATTGATCAACTTTCCAGAATACTGTAATTACATCTATTCAAGGGATGAGAAATAATCACACAGTGCTTCATTAAGTTTATGATATTAAGTAATAACTGTAGAGTTGTGACTGTTCGGCTTGCATTTAAATAGTTTAAAACATTACTTGACCATATGAGTTTTGGAAGACTAGTACCTGTAATAAATACCGCTCATGGTTCAAGGACACATACGTAGTTGCCGTGCCTCGGGAAATCACAACCTATAAGTATAAGGTATTTTTGCATGCACAACTGTTGGGGAATACATAATCTCAAATTACAACTCATGAAAAGGAAATCAGTATCTATAAGTTGAAATTCTGTTACAGTAAATTATATAATGTGAACACTATTCGCGAAATTTCAATGCATTTTTACGATATTTTAAAGTACTTGGTTTAAATATTCTGATCATTTTTTATGAATAGATCATGGAAAAACTTAATGTATTTTGATTAATTAATCAACATCGCATAGCTTCGTCTGCAAGACTGGTGTTTTTGCTCTAGCTAGTGGGACAGGGAAAAGAAGGGGATAGAAGTAGTTTCATTCACAATACTGAAGTCGGAGTACGGTGCACCGACGTATAAACAACCACATAGCCAAAAATATACGAAACAGTGAATTACATTATTTCTCAATTCACTGTAGGACATAATGGAAAATCAAATACCATAACAAATCGAAACAAAAACAGGCGAAAAGGTATTGTATCGTAGGCCTTCAACAATACTTCTCTTTTACTAATATTATCCTTGCTTTCTAGAAAGTATCAACATTATTTGAGTAATCAGTGAGTTCGAATGGCATTAAACTGATCGCATCTATTGATAAATGGGTATTGGAGTCGAAATCTGGACCCCCACTTGAACGATAAGTAATATCGCATGACAGCTGAAAACCCACTAAGAGACATATAAGGCTTTAGACAAAGTGAAGACTAAAATTGCAAAAGCATATCACATGACATCATAAACTTACTGCAATATATTTGATAAAATATATGATGGTCCATCAGACGTTTACAGCTCTAAACTGTATGTATGATTTAGTCTCAAACAGTCATGAAAATGAAGAACCTAGCGCAAATTTACATCGACCCGAATTGTTGCACTATACATCACCATCAAAGTCAAAAAATAGGGGTCAAAGGAGTCGAACTAATACCTGTTACAACGATAGCAAAAGACTAAAACTAAGAAATGTACCCTAAAAAGAACTAATACAATCCATGAGTCAGTAGTATAGAATTATATTAAAACTCGAGATCTGAAAGTAAAAAATGGGCACGGAAATAAGATTTGAACACAACTGACTAACTGATTCTGGAAACTGACTACACTTCATCTACCTAATGCATATAACTAATACATAAACCAATTGATCATTGAAGTACTATTCTAATGTGGTAGAGTTGAATGAAACAAAATATGTATTTACACTAAAAACTGGGTAAGTAAAGCAGTTTTCTGACGTTCTGAAACTGGTTGCGAGTAAACATTGAAAGATTAGATATTTTCGAACGGGATGTACTTGTTAAATAGATATATACTTTTGTAATAACTCATGATGAAATTAAGTGAACTACCATAATGATCGCTTTGGTTGTAATAGGTAAAGGAAACTTTGAAGACACTATAACAACTGAGCCTAAGATCAACAGCTTAATTCATGTCCACTACTTATTGGTATAATTAGCTTCCATTGATAGTAACACTCAATGGTCAGAAACAGTGTATGACTACAGAAGCTTACTTTAAGTATAGAGCTCTGAAAACAAATAAGCGTCTGTACAGAAACAAAAACTTACGGGGCCAAATCCACATATTACATGAAGTAGCATATAAAAAACCTGCAAGAAGCAAGACAGCAACGGGAAATAGGATAACTGGTGTATCTTTAGGAAGAGTACCACAGTTGACTTCCAAACTAGCATTTGAAGTGGGTTGGTTATATACAGTACGGTAGAAACTGGGTGAAATCTGTGCAGGGCAACCAAAAAGAATGACAGGAATATATGGCACTTGCCATGTATCACCAGAAATTGAATACTCCACAACAACAGTGACAATATATGCTGTAGCTGGACGACGTGAGACGATTATGTTAATAAATTCATCATTTGGTGTGAATTCACTATTAAAACAAGATCCAGGGTAAACTTAGTTGATACATTCGAATCCTATCAAAATATGCAGTAATAAGAAAACTGACAACAAACTTAAAATCTTATTTCCCTTTTAGGCTTACGTTAGTAATAGAAAGCCCCCAAATGCCCTGATACGTCAGAGAAGGGAGTCAGCTATCTCCCGAAATGCTCCCACATGGCCACGCATATACAATCACTACCAGGGAAGTCCCACTCACTGCCTTCTCGCGGAGGGGTGTTGTTTACGATATTGCGAGTACAAAAACCGAATGCTCGGAGGTTTAACCGGGTTGGTTGACTCGGAGGGTTCACCTAGGGGAGCTGAAAAACCCTGATTCCAAACCAATGCTGCGCAAATGGCGCATGAACCAATCATTGGTCACCGGCTACCATGGGACTGCATCGCCTGACGTTGCTCCGCTACTTTTAGGTCGAAGGCTTTGGCTGTGGTGCCTTAAGAAAACCACCTGCCTAGGTTTGGCCACCCGGGCAGCATCATAGCTCATGCACTAATCAAGTGACTTGTGTGGTGCATATGTATTCGGTGCCCCTTTGTACCAATATTTATATATTCAAATAAATAAATAAGTAATAGTAATACAAAACTGATGCTCCTTAAAGTAATTCATATAAACTGACTTAAGTGTACGGAAAACATCCACAATGAGAGACTTATAATACATAGGTACAGAACAAGTGAAATAGTATATCAATAACAAACCGAAAATACTGAGCTGCACGTAGTGAATTCGTGCCTTAGGGGAATTAGCATTCGATTATCCACAATCGAAACCTAGCTCTTCTTAGCTTAAAACCAAAGAACTAAAGCCATATTTTGGAAACTAGGGTTATCGAAAACGTGATTGATTACTTGCTATTGAGTGTGAAGGTACACTACAGTTAAAACAGATCAATGCCTAAGAACGGAAGGGTACAAAACCTAAACTAAAACTTGCCACCGTTGTTTGAGTGGGTTCGATGTGAGCTATATCTAGAAATGTGTAATGTTGAATAGACACACGGCATCTAAGCTTGAAACAAACTTTTAGTATTGTGAAGTTCTTGCGTAACTTATATGACTGTACACATAACGTTCATGAGACCAATGACAACAACGCCAATAAGACACTTACCTCTGGTGAAATGACTGTATGTAAGTACCAACAAATGACGAATGGCCAAAGTTGGCCATGTTTTTTAAGACTGATGCAACTTCACTGGGACTAGGATTCACGAAGGCTCCATAAGAACCACCAGCAGTTATTAGTGGTGTACCATAAACGTGATAAACTAGGCTCCCTGATGGCTTACTTTCGGTAATCCAGTGAGAACACGCAAAACCGTCTGATCCGACAGGTGCCGAAGCTGCAGAGAGCTGGAGAGAAGACGTCCAATAGCTTAAAAACTCAATGCGTTTCGAGCTTGAAAGATTTATATTTTTAGTCATTATATCTGTAGTGATGGCTGCATTCATGAAACCATTACGCGAACTACGACCACAACCACCTGGCAATGGAACTACAATGATAGATATATGACACTACCATAAACATACATTCTGATCCATATGCAACAGCTTTAACCCACACAATTAGCGGAACACTATAGGTAGAATAAACGTAGAATGTCGACAGTGTTTTGTTTTCAACAAAACTAGCTAAGCCGCAGTGAGCCGAGTATTGTGAAGTGTCATATGTAAACGAGGCTGATGTGGACACTAGTAGTGGGTTAAAGGGGCTGTGTACTTGATACACAACAAATTTGCTCCACGGCGGAATTTTGATAACTTCGACATACACCAACCCATTGACAGTAATGTTCGTGAATGACCCATGTTCAATAGTGATTATCGTATGAGAAAAACACTCCTGAATATACCCAGAAGTTAACAACAAGTAAGGGCAGAGTAGGGACCACAACATACCGCCCATATTGAATTGACGCTCGTGCGGCTCCAATTAAAATCTTCGCGTCTTCACTTTACTTTTTCAGTAATCAAAATATCATCCCCATAGAAACTTTGAACTTCTATGTATTCAGGAGGGACTTTTCTGATTTTTTTACATTTCGTTTGTAAAAAAGAGATAGTTTGTTTTATTCACTTCGTATTAAACTTCTGTGCATATTAAGTTTTCACTTCCAACGTTACCAGGTAGAAATAGCAAAACGTTTGTGCCTTCGAATATATATCTAGTGGTAGAGAAAAGTTTTTGGTTATTAAGAAATGGAGCTTTTATTCTGTTTCCTCTGAATCTAGAAAATATGGGTATAGGGTTTTTTGGGAGCTGAACTGTATCTACCTTAAACTTCAGGCATCTGATCGTTAGATGGTACGTCGAATATCTCTAGGGTGAGGGATAACTAAAGCCTATCAACTGGCTGCATGCCATAGGCTGGCTCATGAGGACATGGTTGCGCTATGTTTCTTCAATCTTTGCTTACTAATATATTTCCTCGGTAACGTCATATTTATCTAGATGGTCATCGAAGTAGCCTCAGCACCTGGGTATCAAGAGGATGTAATTAACTCTAGGTATCAACCACGAGGCGTGACACTGACTCAAACAAGGTCACAACATTCTTGGCCAAGTCAAGAAGATTGGAACTGTACAAATGGATCATCCACATTGGTGATCTACATGTTCAACGATAGGAGGGGTTATTGACACCTATTTACTCGCCAATAGTATCTGCGGAATCGAGGAATGGTGTATGCCTTCTTTTGAGACTATTAGTGAAGGTTTCACCGATATGGCTTCCTTCAGGTAATTCCACAACTTCCTGTTATGAAAGTTATAATGAATTTTAATGCAAACTATTTGCTTATGTATTCAAAAATTTTGTCTTCATATGTGTAATGTAGTGCTTGTAGGACCAGCGAAATAACACAAGTATTTTGGACAGATTATCCGTCAGGTCAAACGTATCTCAAACTTGGAACACCAATCACTGAGAGAAATGTAATTTATGAAGTCGGACATGAATTAGTTAGGTGATACAGTGGACCTGCAACGTGTGGCAAAATAACCGCAACTTACCCTCTGTCGTTTTGTTCACTGGGGGTTTATATACGTGTATTCCTAACAAGATTTGTTCTGTTCTCTAAGCGTGCTAGAGAAGCAGAATATCCTGGTCGACAGGTTAGTATGAACCAGAGTGAAAAATTGTTGGGTAGTGGAAACTCAACTTACACTGTTTCATCTGACTCTAGTCAAGCAAGAATACTAACTGAGCGGCACACGTACGTTTGTTGGGTTTAATCGTTCAACCCTCATTAGTTAGTAATATCGAGAAAAGTCACTAAGAGTCTGGTCTCAGCTTTTGCTACACAGTAAGGGAAGCAAGTAGGGTCACGGCTGTCTTGCTCAAACACACAAACGTTCACTAGTAAGTGGGAGAAAATGGGAATTGTTTATTATATTTATTTATTTGAACACATAACATAGGCGAAATGGGGCATCAAATACATATGCTAAACACAATACCAGTGAGGCTAATGGTAGTTATCGTCGATTTGTGTGAGGGCTGTGATGTCAGGGTTTCCAAAGCGAAGTAGATGGCTTTCTTAAGGAGCCACCCCCGAGCCTTCACAAACTGTGGAAGTAAATAACTACTGGAGATGATGCTTTTATTCTAATAGCATATTGTTTGTAGACTCTTAACCGTTAATCCCTATTTGCATATCTGTTATACCAATGACAGTCTGACATGTATACACCAGACCATCTAACTGACCTAATTGGTTTAAGATAATTATTTGCTATATACGGCATCATGATACTTCCCCTGTTAAGGTAAGGAGACAGGATGAAGAAGCTGTTTTCTGTATTGACCCTTGGGTAAACACGAAATTTTGTGTTAGTTTAGAGGTAAAACTGCAAAAAATTGGGTTGATTACCTAACAGTTGGATGTAAACATCTTAGTAATGTCAAAATACCAGAGCTTAAGTATGTATCCACTTCCTATTTCCTATTATTCTGTATTGAATGTCGAAAAAACCTTGTGTATTTGAAAAGGATAACTAGGTGCTCAATCTGTTCTGCTCCACGATCTAACTGAAGACCTATTCACTACTAGTCTGTCTTCTTCGAAAGAACAAATGAAGTTTCTCACCAGCAAGAAATTGGTGAGCCTCGTTTTCAACACAAAGTTAATTTCTGTTTTGCTTATTACTTTTGTTTTCTTAGTCGTAAAGTAAACCTTCCGATCGTCTTCAACATAAACTCCTTATATGTATATACGTTTATATGTATATTGTCCTTTATCACAAAGTATTCGTGTTTAAGTTATTCGTTACGCCTTTCATGTCACATTAATATATATATGCTCCTCCCTCTCCTTCAGTCGTCAAAGAAGTCTGTGACTTAATTCTGAGTCCACCAACATCTAAACCACACCATATTTTCAAACGAGAGCTAATGAACCATCTATATCTGTCAGACGACCAAAGAATCTAAAAGATTTTACAAGGAGAAATGGCTCACCATCAAGTCCTAATCGGCGATAACACACTGGGTAAAGCGGTCCTAAAAAAAGATAGATCCAGGCTTTCCTATGCTACATCCAACGCTGTTTCGGTGCTCAAGACCTGGACACCTCTCCATCTTACTCAGCGCGTGTCGCAGAGAGGACAATGGAACGAAGTCCCTAACTGGACCATCTACGATACATCACACACGAAACAAAGAACCATCAAAAGACCCAGTCATATCAGGACTCATTGTAAGTGTTAAGAGTCTCACAAAAGCTGCAACCAAAATGCGAATGGGCCGTAGAAACAGGAGCAAGTCACCGCAACGACCGAGACCCAAGTCACAGGGCAGGTCACAAACGTCCATACAATTTGAGAAGTGCTGTTTCTATCACAATAATTTTGGTGTCAAATCAACCACATGTAGGCAACCATGTATTTGGTCCAAACAGACTCCCAAGAATACGGGAAACGAGCACCCCCCCGACAGGACTCGACGACTGGAAAGAGGTGCCTGAAGAGTCGCTCGCTTTATGTTAGGGAGAAACGTTTAGTCTTGAGCATTTTTGTGGCTACCGGTGCGGGATTTAGTCTCATTTTTCAGAGCAAACCTGAGATGTGTCAAAAACCTCACCGGTCACACTTCAGTCTGCTGACAAAAATAAAATCGAAATGCTTGGGTAGAAAACGATGACACAAAACTTGGGGTTTAGGAAGAAAATCTCCTCTATGTTCCCTGTAGTCGATTTGAATCTGGCAATGTTGGAAATGGGTCTTTGTAATTCATTCTGTCTTATTCGAGTTTTAGAGAGTATTATTTTCAGTCTCATATAAACATAAATTACTTTTGTTTTATCCATAAGTTGTTCAGATACCTGTACTGGTAGTAGATAACCGCGTCTATCCACTGGTTGTTTCTCTTACCGCTCGTAGTGCAAGCAGCTTTCGAATTTACCACCATCACCATGCCCAACGAGCAACAGCATTTACTCGGAAGATCTCTGTCCTGTTGTGTACCGCTTAAGTTATGTGACTTTGTGGTGGTTGGTCCCTAACCATACTCTCTTTGACACCGAGCATATAATTACTGAGATTTACATCTAACATGTAGCACCTAGGGAACGTCAAGAATTGAAAACACGGGAACACTATATCTGCATGACATGGCTCAGCCTATTAGGAGTGGTCACCTGTGTAGCTCATACCTTTTCACATGAAGTATATTATTTTATCTCCAGTCGAAGTGTGTCCTTTAAATGTACTAAACGTCTTATTGCCGATTGTCACGATACGAGTAGTCAGTGCACACTATGATGTGACTTCAACGTAAGGTCTTATAAACTAGGTAATGACGTCATGAAAAGTCTACAATTTTGTGGTTATGTCTCTTATCATAGTAACAAAGATAAATGTAGTAGTATCGAAGTAGACTTCAATTTGGCAACCCAACTCATACATTAATGGAGAGTAATTCACTTATCTGATACCCATATGGATAGGAACTCGCAATGTATACAGAATAAGACCATGAACAGAGGAGAGCTCAAATGATAAATTCGTAAATTGTCGACAACAATTGAAACAGCGTGAAACGTAGACGAAGGGTACAATAGCTAACATGTCTATTACTTATACAATAGAAATACATGTCATAATTCTCCGTAAGATAGTTCCTAAAGTTACAGCTGTCTCAATATTCCTTCCTCCCCATAACAATTGCTGTTTCGTTCAAGTAAGTATGAGGGCAAGGTTTATTTAGATTCATTCTGATATTCGAAAGTTTCCCCCGAATAATAAATGAGTCTATTGCATCGGCAGCTTTGGTTGTCTAGTGCTATCCAACTTCTGTGGGAGAACAAGATTACCTGTATTTTTAACTCATTTGGGCTGGTTTTCTCAAACTCAAAAGGCGCATGTTTATCATCTTCGTGAGGATTCACTATATGTGTTAATGGAAGCATGTCTTTTTGTAAATAATAATGACCAACTTAATGAGGTTAGGAAATTATGCAAAGTGACTCCGCGTTTCCAATTTTATTCGTTTCTGTTTTTAACAAAATATAGCCATGTAGTTCATTCTTTAAACCGCACTGCGTTTCGTCCAGATTTTGTTCTCGTCCATTATTGAAGCACGGTTGGTTGATTCACTCATAACCTACAACCCAACTAAAAAGTGAACTAATTCAAACTCAAATACCAAAGTTTATTCGTAAATTACAAGTAATCAACACAAATATATCGTTTTTCAATCTTTAGGTCTTCGGAACGAAAACTTCCGAAATGCCAAACCAAAAAACAAACTGAAACCAACATGTTCATGCCAAAAATATAAACAGACAAGGTCAAGGTTAATCGAAGAAAACACATCTAAAAGAGTGTGTTCATTATTCGATATAACAGTTCTAATGAGTTAAATATATCCAGTTCTTTCCATAACACTGTTGTAGAACGGTAACCAGGTCATCTTTTAAAAGTAATTTGGGCTAGTGACTCAAGGAAGGTCTTGCTCCAACGTAGT